CGGGATGCTGTTAAAAGTTTAATCTGGAGATTCCTTATGAAAAAGTCCAGCAGAGTACATTTAAAAGAGCCTGTATGACCAATGGTTATTCCTGCTGTATTTATACAAATAACCAGTTTTAAATTTATTAAAACTAGACTTATTTTGCAAATAAATTAGTCTTATTTTGGCTCTCTCTGGTAAAAATGAGGATGGTCTAGAGAGGAAAAATTACGTTTCAATAGTAACTATGATACATACTTGTGGATACTAGATTCTAGTTCAGTTAGTTGTCTTTGGGGTTTTGTTTTCCACCTGTAAAGTGGACTGGATCCTGAATTTTTCTAGTTTTCTCAAATATTTGGCTACAGTTCTTCAAGCTAACATTTTCAATTCTCTCCTATCCTTTGACTTGGAATTACTGAAAACTGAAATGGCCGTTTTCCCCCCCCGAAGTCCTTCAAACTGCTGCTCGATGATTTGATATAAACTTCAGGAAACCCCCGCCACAGCTCATGCTTAGGCGATCTCCATGCCTGGTGCTGTGCAAGCCACTTAAAAGTTTCTCTGAGCACTGGAGGACATCATCCGAGCATTTCAAACTGCAACGATGCATCGAGCCTGACACCCAGAAATCGGCAGCCCTCCTGGCTCAGATTTTAATCAAAACTGTTTTTAATTTGCTCTAAACATTACCCTTTTTTGTTTGTTTCCATAGAAGTGTCTCTTATCAAATGCCTTATTGCTTGCTCACACACTATAGACCTAATTTGGGGGGAGCACCTGCACCACTGCCTCCTAAAATGAGACAGAACTGTTCAAGCGAACTGCTCTATCTTCAGGATTAAGTGATTGTTCCACGAAATACGGAACAATCTACCTACAACTTAGCTTCTGGACTGTAAAACTTATTTGAACTTAAAAAGGTAGATGGAAAATTTTTATTTTTCCACCCTCATATTATGCATAAATAAAAATTATGATAAAAAAACCCCAAAATTTCATGGACTTCAGCTTCATCTTCCCCATAGAAGTCTCCAGGGTAATGCTCCTTCATGTTCCCACCCTAAAACCATATTATCAACTCACTGGGGACCTGGGCCTTTTTCATCTTCAGCACCTAATAATAATAGCTATTTTTTATTATGTGCTTTCCTTATTCCAGGCATTTTACATGAATACATTAATTGAATCCTTACAACAACCCAACAATGTGAAAACTACCCTTACTCCTATTACATAGAAGGGAAAACAGAAGTGCTGGGAGTTAAGTAACTTGCCCATAGTCACCTAATGACCACAGGCGGAGCCGGGATCGATACCGAAGCTGTTGTATTTCAGGCTGTGAGTTTGACCTCTCTGCCTAGTTCCTCTTCTGCTTTCGTCATTACGCTTCACAGTCACTGTGTAAACATTTGTTAAATAAATACATATTTTTTTTATTCCTGGCACCGCATTGGATTTCTTAGTATCTTGTCATAAACTGCCTTTGCAATACATATATATGTTGACTTACTCCATGGTTATAACTTTAAAGAAAGAATCAATGTTGGGGCTTCCTTTGGATTGCCCGAGGTACTTAGTGTGCTTGCTGGGTGACAGAACAGATGCTGAAAAATGCTTTATTGACTCTAGAAGGTTGGGCTAATCCTTATTTATATCTAATCTTCGAAGTCAGGCCGTCACGATGTTTTTATCCCATTCTGAGCTCCCTCTTCCCCAGAGGAGAAACTTGTGTCCTGGACTCTGGAGACTTCTCCCTAAGGGGACAATGGCTGTTGGGGTTTGGAATGAAAGGCCGCGCCTTACCCTTGGCCAAATGCCTGGCTCTGAGCCCCCAGGGGCTATGGGGCTTGTGTTTGTTGTGACTGGGAGTTGGGAGGGACAGAGACACAAGGGAAGGATATCATCACTTCCATCTCGGTCTACTGGCCAGAAGCTGATCTCATTCTGGAGAAAGATATAAGGGCTTTGAAGTTCCTTTAATGCTGTCAGGAAACTCCATGCTTTCTGCCAGGCCCCTTTTTAACATTTAATTTAACATTTAATGTATAAATCAATTTAATACAATCAAATTAATACCATGATTTTCCAGGAGGGATAGTGGCAATTTTTGTTTTTTTCCCCCTGCTCAGTTCAGATCAAATCTGTGATAATTTGTTTTAAATCTAGTGGTTTTTTTTGTTTTTTGTTTTTTTAGATGATCATAGACAAAGGAGGTAAAAGACTACTGACCAGGAGTCATCTAGTCATTAATTTATTAATAAGTATTTTTATCACTTCTAATGCACCAGACACTGTGCTAGGTCCTGGACAGATCTGAGGGAACAAGATGGGAAACAACTTATACTATTTTTAGGATGGTAAAGAAATTGGAAAATAAAATAACTACTTTTGACATCAGAAGAGGGAAGAAGAGATTCATATGCGTATCTCCTAAGGATAAAACTGGGGCTAACAGATTGAAATGACAAGGCATATTTTAGCTGTTGGAAGAAGTAATTATCCAAAGATGAACTATTATTCTCAAGGTAGTGAGTTCCCCATCACTAACTAGGGCTGTCAGGCCACTTGACAGGTGTGTTATATAAGGAAAAAAAAGAACCTCATATTGAAAAAAAAAAATTGGATGTCTGATTGGATACATTTTAATATGCATTCAAGCCTTGAAATTACATGATTCTATAACATTTAAGAGCATATGTAAAGTCAAAAAATAAAAATATTTTAATAATATAAAACAGAATTATAAACCCATATTAATAAAGACCCTATAACTATTAGATTATACAATATATCATATACTTATAAATCACATATATTGTTTATGTTATATACGTACTAGATTATACAACATATTGTACCCTTATAGATTTTAAGATTATACTTGCAATTTTTATTAGATTTCACCTTAGCCTGGTTCCTCTCTGGGACCCACTATGTCAATTACCTAATAAATACTTAGGTGGTGAGAAAGAGCAACATCTCATGGAGCGAGACCAAATTTCTCCCACATTTCAATATAGAATTCACAAGGCAGCTGTTCCTTCATTGACTGACCCTGGGGGAAATTGAGGCACATAAAAATACCAGGATCTTTAGTACCATCTAAATTGATGTCTGCTATATGTTTAGGTGGTTGAGCTGCAAAAGAAAGCTGCTAGAGGAAGTTGGTAATCTCTGCCCCTTCAATACCTTAATTCCTAAGACCAGCTCTCCTCAGAGTTTAGAGATTCTACTTTGCACATTTCAGAGTGAATTCCTGCACTTCTCTGGGGTAGGAAACATATTCATATGTGGCCCAGGCAGATAAAATTGCCCCTTCTCCCACTGGCCCATGACTTATTCCATTATTATCTCATCTGAGTTCTGTTTGCTCCTGTTTTTTGCCTGCCAGTTTTCTGTGAGCTTCTTGCTTCCCAAGCTCCCGACTATTGTATTTGGGTTACACTTCATTGCCCAGGGCTTGCCAAGGAAATTTAGTTTTCAGTAAAACAAAATGTTCTGTAATGTGTGTGTGTGTTTTTCCCTGCCTTTTTTTTTTTTGAAGTTTGACAAATTTATTGGTATTTTAGTAAAGACATTCATCTCAGTCGTTTCTCTCTCCTTGACCATAGGTTAATATTTCATCTGAGTCAAGAAAAGAATATGCAAGGGAGATGCTATTTTAACATAAAACAGTAAAATAGACAAAAATGAAAAGTTTGCGTACATTAAACCAAATTAAATTCATGTATCTTGATATAATTAAGTTATGTAAGTAAGAACTAATAGTTCTATGTACATTTCCATTGTTTTTCTTGGGGCTTCCTCTAAATTTAAATGCAAGTGAACAAAGCACTAGGCTGCTTCTCTGGAGTTACTACTTATTAAAAGAGCTGAGCGAGTAGTTACCACCATTAAGACTGTCTGAAGGTGCCTGCAAACTTAACACTGTAGGAGTTTTCAAGGAAATCATTATGTTGCACTTTTCTTTTATCTACGACTATGCCTTTAAAGATGTGTCTAACTGCCACATTAAAATAGAATTCATATACAAGACAAAATATTTATAGAAACCCTACAACACATAGCTCTGACAAAGGATATGTGGTCAGAGATTCCACAAAATGTTTAAAGATGCATTTATTTCCTCCTATTTTCAGTACCTAAAATGTGCTTTTGAGAAGCCATCGGTTAATACGCATACACTTAATACTGCCCCCTAGAGGACTTGGAAAGACACTAGCCGGAGCCAAGTCTACACAGCCAAGAGTACTTGACATAAATGATGTCCCTGCAAGACTTGAATATCTTCAGGGGAACTTGGAGCCATTGAATCTCTTGGCCTAGGTTCCTTGTCAGCAAAATGGAGAAAATAATGACTTCCTTATAGGATCGTGGTGAGAATCAAACATGATAATAGCACTAGTGAAATCTTACAATTTTAGATTTACCTGTTTTAGAGTAATTATTATTCTCTTTCACAATTCTCTTTGAGAAACCGGCTCGGCTTAGCAGACTGCAATAGTACTCTCCCTATTGCACAAAGTAGCCCTCTTGAGTCAAAGTAGCCAGCAGGCTCTGACCAGGATTCCTAGTCCCGCATTCCGACACAAAGCATTCCAGGAGCTCAGTAAAGCAGTATTTGGCTCCAGTCTAGATGAAAAACTAGAATTTCTCCCCTGGCCTCTGAAAAGCAGATAATTGGTGCTAATGGTAACGGGGCAAAACAACCTAGGATCTTATCAGAGCTTTCCTCCAAACTCCTCCTAGTTTCTCCCTCCCCTAGGTCCCTTGCCCTAGGGCTATTCTCGTGGGGGGGGGGG